TTTTAGCCCTGCCCTGGCCAGGTTTCTCACAAAGCTCCTGGATGCTCTAGGCCAAGATCAATTTGTCAGTGCCAGGTTGTATGATGATTTATGACCATAGCTGAGTGAGGGTGCTGGCCATGTTCTGTCTCTCTCTAACTAGCTGTGTTGAACTCAAGCCATTCCAAATCCCTGACTGGCTACGTGGATGAATGCTTAGAGAGACTGAAGTTGTTTATTGAATTTCCAGGTATAACTTTTGCAGCTGAAGGAAAAATTTGGAAGAGAAAATATGAAACTGTTAAAAGCTTCATTGCACCGCAGTAAATGTCTCACAGAGGGAGTTAGGCTTGTCTAGGAGAGGTGAAAATTCTCAAAGTCAGAATTTCATTTGGCCAGGTTTTTTCACATCACACTTGTTATCAAAGGATGGAACCTCTGAACACTTTACCCAATATACCTGTAAAAGTGGCAAAAAAAAGTGGCTAAAGAAGCTATCTTAACAGGTACATAAGTGTACCTGTAATTTAGTCTGACCTGGGTGTGAACATTAGGCTCTGATTTTTCTTACACAAACAGGGCAGAAATCATGTATAATCTGCAGAAGAAAACAAAGAACAAAATCATATCCTTAACGAAAAAAATATGAAGGAAAACCAAGGGTAATAAGATTAAGAATTTTGAAGGTAGTAATGAAATAAAGATACATTATAAATGTTAGAGTCCAGACTGTAGGACACAAGAAATTTAAGAACAGTGATGGGAAAAATTAATTACATGAATAAAGAAAGTCCAAGTGGCTTATATGAGCAGCATGGGATAGACATTGCACTCTGACTAAACTCCACCACCTATTGCTTGGGACTGCTGTAGGTAAGGTGCTGCTTAATGGGCATGAAAAGATAAGGATCAGATTCTGTCTGGAAGTCAATTGATGCCTGGATCAAACTGTTTCTCTGAAGGAAAATTTAATTTGTTTTTCTAAATAAGAAAGTAATTTATGGAGAGACATGAAAATTGACAAAAGTTCTATAAAGAGAAAGCAAATATGGCTTCTTTTAGCAGCATTGGCCAGTTGTTTTTATAAAGCTATCCAGGAGCTTTATTAGCAGAATTATGCTGACAATTGGCTACACCTCAAGTAAGATGAACCTGAGTCTATTGCAGGGGAGTAGAAGACAAAAAAAAAAAAAAAAAAAAAAAAAAAAAAAGAGGATCAGAGACAAAAAAGAAACCCCTTATTACCATTTCCTTGATATCACAGAATCCACTAGCAGGTCAGAGTTGCAGAGTTGTAATAATTTCATTTCAGAATAATCAAATCAATGCTGAAGAATGGTGAAACAACAGCTACCATGGCTGCTTCAGGTGTTGTGATACCATGAGAGCACAACAGCCTTATTATCCATTGTAGTTGTTCTTTGCATGTCTCGACCACCTGTGCAAATGTGTTTCTGAAATCTGTGCAGAGACAAAACCCCAAATTAAATCTGACAAACACAGAAAGTGTCTTGAGCTAACTCGGCCCCCCTTTGTAGTTGGTCATTATGGGGTGACCAACTCTTTTTCCTGTCCTGCATGACCCACATCCCTGTAGGTTGTGTTTATTGAAAGCTGATAGTTACAAGTGCTGACATTTGCCAGGTTTTGTATACCAGGGAGTTAAAATCAAAAGAATCTGACAAAGACATTGTAAATAACACAAGAGAACTTTCCTAAACCTGCACACTGTATGAATGCAGAGGAAAATTTACTCTATTTTCAGAGGCTCTTTGTGTGCTCAATTCTCACTGTATGAGTGCTATTAGAAGTGCAAGCACATAACTGCAGATATAATGTCAAAGTCATCCACATTATAACAAGGTTTCAGATGCTCCGTAATGAAGACTTCATCAGAGAGTGAAAATTATTGGCTCCCCTGTTGACGACTTTTACAAAAATCGTAAATGTGTAAAGTTTGCCAGCTGGATTCATCTTCCTGTGCACAGTCATTTATGAAGCTTTGAAATTTTAACCACTGGCAACAATGCTATGTTTGAAAAAACTCCAAGAATATCTGTTCGATGACAAACAATGGTCCGCTAAATAGAGACACGCTGTCCTGACAGCTCCGCTTCAGCTTTATGGTATGATATGTGCCAGCAAAAGCAGAGAAGACATTTTGTAGCATCATAAAACTGCTTCCAAAAATGAGCACCCTGCAGCTATTAGAAACTGCATGAGAATCACCAAATGTCAGCCTCATGCTCAACAACGTTCAGTTTAATAAACGGATTTCAGAAAGTGAACAACATAAGATGCTTCAAAACACCCTTAAGACTACAATGAAAATATTGAGTGCTAGAGAAAAAAACTCAGCTATTCACCATATAAAGAAAAAAAAAAAGGGGGGGGGGGAGAATTTTGTTTCTCCTTGTTGTTTCCTGGGACCAATTAAGAGCATTCATTATTATTATTGTCAGCACTAGGAACAGTTTACGAACGATAATCAATTCACTGACACATCCTAATATTAATAGTCAGAGGCCTGCACTGAAAACAGCCTCACATTGTTCTGGCAGTTAATATCAGGTTTGTTTCTCAAATTTTCTTCTCTGAGAGAAGTATTTAAATTTATCCAAATATAAAGAAAAAAAATGGGCTGTGGGCGAAAGGAGTATTTCTGTGTACCAGAAACATAATGTGCTAAGAACTGTCTGGAAAAACAAAGAACTATTTTTCATCCTGAAAACTGCTGTTGAAATACTGCATGTCCGCATGTTCTTTCCTCAGTTTGCTTTTCTCCTCCTTGCCCTCCACTCCCATGGCTGCTCCAGCTCTCAGTGTGACTGGTGAGGCAAGAGGTGCCAGGCAGGCACAAAACACACCCGTGCCAAACCAAACATTTCCTGGCTTATGCCACACAGAGACCAAACTCAAGGAAATCTCAAGTATTCACTAAAGGATGCTGAGATTTCTTTTTCCCCAAGAGTGCTGCTACTGTTATAAAGGCATGTGGGATTTACTTGTCCCACAAAAGTCCATATATTGGTCCAAGCAAGAATTCCTCATCAGAGCAATTCAGTTTCAAGTGAAGTTTCTTCACCCAGACAACTTACCAGGAATATTACAAAATGCTGTGATTCCATGATCCAAATAATTAAAGAAAAAGTAGTTGTACAAGTACTAAAAGGTTTTAGGTTATGAGGGTACTTACCAGATCTCAGAGGTCTAGTACTTTTACCGTTAGTTTCCAATTATCTAATTGACATCAATTTCTATGAAAATCATGCCTCCTAAATCCCTCAGTGAAATCAGAAGTGTAACATATCAGCAATTGAATGCTAAAATTGGTATATGTTCTCTTTCATGGGCCTGGAGGAGACTGCAAAGAATATGAAAATATGGAAAACATGCTTCTTTGTATATTCTTAGCTAGTGATAAGTGCTTGTGAAAACACTTGGGATTTGGGTAACCCACAAAAGATCAAAAAGAACATATGGACTATGATAGAAGGGAATTCAAAGCCCCATGTTTGGAAACAGGTTTTTATGAACACTAAAGTTCATGTAGAGAAAATCAGAATATGTTTGCATGTCCCAGGGCTGAAAGGCACACAGAACAATCCTCTGATGGGCAAAAACCTTCTAATACACTACAAAGATTGCCCTGCGAACTGAGAATTCACCTTGATTAAAGAAAAGACTAATATTTTACCACAGGTTTCACCAGACCCAAGATTTATGTGCAGGTTGTCACAACTCTGGACGTCTCTCAAGGTGCATTTCTGTGCTGCTGTCAATACCTGAGCACTGACGCAGGGAACCACGTGTGGCACGGCAGACAGGGGCTGTGACACACGGCCGGAATCTTCCTGCAGCTGTGATCCTTCCCCCCTGAGTTTCTCAGGCTCTGGCACACAGGGCTGAACCACTCAAATCAAGACTCATCAGTGGCTCTCCCTTCGTTACAAATGCTCTAAAGGCACCCAATGACCTAGTTTAAACTTAAAACTCATGTTCCGCTTGGATCAAATATAAAGTGAACTTTTATGAATCCCTAAGTGTGACATGTCTAAGACAGCTTACTGGGCAAAGGAGGACAAAAATAGAAAAGCCTCATTATATGCCTAACAACAAGGTAGAAAATATGTAGATGAAGTTTTTGCCTGATGGGAAAAGAGAGGGAAGAAGGGGGTGGGTAGGCTGAAGCTAGTTTGAAGCCTGTGACATCAGGGTAAATACAAAAGATTTATTTATCTGCAATTCACTGGGAGATCTGGGGGACTGGGGAAGGAATGGGAGAGAAAGGTTTGTTTTAAATACAAACTGGATCGGGTGCCTGTCATTTTAAGATTGGGACCAGGGGAGACAGGTCTGCAGTAGCTTGGGAGAAGAAAGTGTTTCAGGCAATTGGTGATTAATTGTACTCTGCTATGCCACATCTCTTTCTATTAAACCTCAGATAGCCAAATCTGTTTCCTAATTGTTTTTGTGTTTCTCAGTCTTCTTTTGTCTTGCATAGGAGTAGGCAATTTCTATGCCATCAATATCTCATTAAGGGGCCTGGAATCTGAAATGCCTCGTTTTGTTTTTAATTTTGTTTTCCAGGCTTTTTGCTACATTTTATGACACGGCATTTTTCGTTTGCTTGTTGCGGTCCATTTATTCTCTGGCATTCCCTTTCCCTGGGTTATAGCTTTATTTGTTTCTCTGCCTGTTGGCACTCGAGGTGTATGTAAATTATTGTTGCATGCTTCACCATCACTACCTATTGCTCTTCATTTCCCCTAATGACATTCTCACTTAAATGCCGTACCTGCTCAGGTTGTACATGCATAGAAAATAATTTCAACTCATCCATGAGGTCATTTTTTTTCCTTTTTTTTTTTTTTTCCACCCCCTCTCCTACTGCTTTTCACCTCAGACCTGTATTCATGAGGTAAGGAGTAGAGCTGCACGCTTTTTGCCTAGGGCAAAATCCTGCTGCCACTTGTGCAAGTAGAAGCTTAGAGGAAAAAGGAAGGGCATTCACACAAATAGCTAATCAAAGGGTTTTTAATGATACTCATTAGGAAAGAAATTCATTAACAAGCCAGCACAGAACATTCCCTGAAGGGAGAGTGATGTTATTGGTCACATCAAAGTCCCCACCTGACTAACACCTTTATTGCTGTTCATAGTAAGGCCAAGTTAGCAGCAAAATCAGTCGCATTCAGTTCCTGCCAAGGAAAAAGTCAGCAAAGCATGGTCATGGAAACAGGATCAATTCTCTTTTACTAATAAGAATGGCTTTTCAACTTTTCACAGCGATGTACAGTTTAGCGCCCACCACCGATGCTTTTGAATTCACACAATTTTACATTTCCTACCCTTCATTCTTTTGCCCAGCTCTTTCTCTCTCTTTTATTTGGATACCTCTGACTGTGTCCAAACCAGTGCCCGTGGTAGTGGTGCAGTCCCACAGCAGCACAAACCTCAGGTGGGTGGATGCCAGTGCCCCTTTTCGAACAGAAGCCTGCAGAAGACAACCTCATTGCAAGGCACCACTGCAGGCCCACCAGGGCTTACTCCCACTACTCAGGATAGACACAGCCTCTGAGCATCAGAGCCATTTCCAGCTGGCAGGCAAAAAAGCTGCCTTCTTTTTTATGCTCACACCATTACTTACCTATAAAAGGGACTCTCTATTTTTTTCTGCCAACTCATTCCTAGAGATTAGTATCGGTATCTTGGGATGCTCATTTGCTCCGTAAAAATTATGTTTTTAAATAGACTGAAGCAGAAATCTCACTTTTATTGCACTGCCCTGATACAGTAGAGACCAGTTATTAGAACAAATTGTAGCAAGCCGCTTCCTAGTTGTTATACCCACATAATTACTACAGGCTGCTACATGAAACCCTGCTTCACTCTTATGCTTAGAGGCGAGATCTCCATTTTGCAAGGACAGAGCAAGTTCTATTATGCATTTTACTGCCAAAGGAGGTCAATTAACTTTAATTGGTTCTAATTAGCACTTGCTCAAGCTGTTATATTCTTTACCTGCATCCGAGTGGCTCTCCAAGTGCTGCACAATGGATTCCTGCTTATGAACACAAAGGAGAATTACTAATGGCATCCTTGAAGGCAAAAGATGCACTGATCAGCATAAATGGGGAACAAATATCAGCACAAATAGTAGCAGGCCTTTTTAGGAAAAAAACAACCACAAACATTTCATCCCCATCTGGCTTTGATCAATTGAACTGAATGCAACTGTGCACCTTGTTGTTTAAAGTTAGAACAATGAAAGTACACAAATGCAATTATTCTCTACCATAACTTCTTTACACCTGAAAGATAAGTACCAGAAAACACAGGGGGTAAAGGGGTGGAGGGAGAGTGTAGCAGGTCTGAAAAAAACAAATGGATCATTTCAATGGTAGCAAAAACAAAATGCCAAGAAAAAGAAAATCATCAAACATACATCTGAAATGTTCTGTTTTCTAGGATTTTTGAGGATTGTTTTAAAATATTTCTGTTTAAGTGAAAGGCTTAGTTTGTTTGTTTGTTTGTTTTGCTTGATTGGGGTTTTTTTCCATTCTGCTGCAGGGAGAGGAACATCCTCACTTGCCTAAAGAGCCCTCAGGATGTGGCGAGAAGCTGGCACTGAACTCAGGATTGTCTACGACAGACTGAATGCCAGAAGAGATGCTGCAAGGCTGAGCTGTGCTCTAGGAACTTGTTTTCTGCTGTGGTCTTCCTGGATGTGGCTACACTTAAACAAAGTCAGGCTAGAGAGGAATCCAGTCCTCACACCAACAGTGCAACTCAGAGCTGGCTCTCCCAAATAACCAGTCCACCTTCCCAGCACACAGGCACGGCCCTACTTCTCCTCTGGGTCCCATGGCAAAGCTGTGAGTCCTATCTGTTCTTTTGGGTGAGGAGTGTTGGCAGGCAAGGGTCAGTCCTAAAGAGAAGCAGGGAACAAGCTACGCACAGCAGAGTTTGGTGCCACTGCTCTGCTGCGTTCCACTGCTCAGCACTGAGACCCAGGAACTGGGGAGGATGTCCCAAAATGCCTGACTAAATGGTCCCAGTGCAAACCACCACAGTGCCTAACTCATCAAAGACCTGCCCTGCCCTGAAAAACTCCATCCTCAGGGAAGCAACCTGCCTCTACACATGGGGTGCCTGGGATCTACGGAAACCCACCGAGCCTACAGCCACGTGGGCTTCCCAGCTGGAGACTTCCTGAGGGGCAAGCAGCCAGGGTTGGGGCTTTGTACAACCCTGAACATTCTCCAGTCTCACTGGCTTGGATTAACAACACATTTAAAACAAAGTACTAGAATCAGTGTCCCAAGGATCTAGGCCTCTATGGATTTTGGATAATCTGTTTTGGTATGGAAACCAAAAGCAATGAAATTTATGCATATTACCATACAGTTCAAATTACATGTGAAACTGTGGTGGACTTGGCTGATTCTAAACCAGTTTATGTGTCCCTTATTTTAGTATTACTTTTTGCCATTTTCCTGCTATTTGAAAGTACCTTCTAAAGAAAATGTCCATTGCCCACATGGTTTTCAAAATTATTTTTTTTTTTTTGCCTAATGTGTTCCAGAGAGAGGGAACACAAAACATGTGTTAAAAAATAAAAATGAAATTAAAAAATCCTCCCCTTGGCAAACAAGTTCCCCTGAATCTTTACAAAAAAAGGCCAGCTTTTTTTTTTTTTTTCCTTGTTCCTCTCCTATATCTTCACAAGTCCATTAATCATAAAAAACCCCAAACTGCATATATTGAAGATAAGCCCAAGGAGCTGCCTGTAGTTTTGTTTTTAAAAAAAGTTCCTGCCAAAATCTCCCCCAATCCGATTACCTTTCCTCTGTCAGTTGTGAGGACTCTTTCTCAGCCCTAGCACACACCTTTTCTCCTGGCTGGCAAGGCATGGGCTGAGGCAAGCATAAACCAGCATATAATTATTTCAAACAGTCATGTCTTCCTTTTGCACTGGTGTATAGTTAAATTAATACACTTAAAACATTCCATGCACCTTATCTTTTGTACTTTTCCCAAGGAACGGTGTTTCTTTTGCATTTCAGGTGACAACCAAAAGGTATTCAAAAGGTTTACTGACTTGGAAAGGGCTTGAGAAATTAAAAAAAAAAAAAAAAATTACAAAATCAAGAAATGTCTGTTCTTTGCATCACTGAAATGGCTGCCTATACAGCAATACACCACTGAAGCACATGCAACCATTTATTATTTGGTCCTTCAGCCCTCCTGCGTTTAAAATTGGGCACGCACTCAACGCAAAGATTGAGAAAAACTGACCTGGCACCTCTTTGCCATTTGGGGATATTCTGTATGGGGTTGGCAGAAGCCCCACCAGCACAAAGCCCCAAGTGCAAGGGTTCAGACCCTCGGAGTGCAGGTTTTACACACCCACTGCTTTATGGGCTGTGAGCAAAGTGAGCTGAGCACTTGGGTCCTTGCGGGGCATTGAGAGAGCGCGGGTACAAACGGAGGATGTTTGCTGGAATGGCTGGGCCGGGGTAATTACACTGGTCCAGCTATTCCCTGTATAGACAGGACATTAAACAGAAACCCCTATGACAGGCAATGTTTACCACTGGCCTATTTATAACACAGCTCTTGGCTTAACTCAAAAACCAGCACACAAAACATTCCTTGTCACCTGTAAGTGGACAGTGATGATTATAGCTCAGTCTATGTTATTATTGCCTGATTTTCCCAGTTTGGCTTTTCACATATTGACTCCTTACTCAAGGTCTTTTAACATAGATTTGAAATGTGAATATGTTTTATTTTTTTCCCCAGTAAATATACAATACACACTTCAACAGTACTATTAACCAACTTCTTATGCCAATTAAACTTTGCTGCACTAACAATACCAATGAAACACATTAAGAGGTCATACTTTTTCGTGAACAAACTGTAGCCAATAAACAGTTTTTAAAAAAAACAAATTAAAAAACAATTCTAAGTGCTGCCACAACATCCCTTTTCTTTAAACACATTATTCACAATAAATGTTTTCATTTTTTTTAAAAAGAGAAGAATACTTCTTTTAAAATAGTAAATTAAATGGTATTTTAAAAAATATGTACTGTGGTTCATTGGAAGTACACTGTATAGAAAAGAGAGAGAGAAAAAAAAAGAAGAGACATCACCTGTAAGATAATGGAGACACTTTGCCATACACAACAACACCTTATGTAATATTGTAAGCAAATTATTAATGAACAAAAATGTACAGAAGCAGATGGACAAGTTAGTGAATATCATGGTACTGCACAGTTTTAATACTGACACACATTTACTTTCCAGTGGAAGAGATAAAACACATATTTGAAAGTAATTGGGATGGCTTTATCAACCTCTAATGATACTGAATTTTGAATAGAATATAATGAGTAAGGTGTTCCACCAAAGCTCAGCACAAGCTTTTGAATTAAAAGGAAAAAAAAATCAATCCATGACTGAGTTAAACATTTTCCAGAGAATTAAATTTGAATGGTACTCTGAAGAGTCATCTCTTTATATGAGAATATCAAAATAAAACCAAATATATGTAATTATGAGGCATTCTTTATCTTACTTGAACATTTTTAAGCAATGTTTTTAACTGTAATGTTTTAAAAGCAGGAAAATGACATATAATCATTGGTCACATATATAAATAAATTAATACATTTTTTTTCTCAAGTTTTTATGTTTGTAACCTGCTGAATAACACATCTTGACTTAAGGAAGTTAACTAGCTTTTTTTAAATACTCAGTAGTGCTGAGTTATAGCTGATGGCTGTAGTGTTTTATCTTATCATGGAACAAGTTAATGAAATGAAAAGCAACACATATTTAGCATTTTAATTTACTTTTCTAAAATTCTGCCATTACTAAAAGTGTTCTTAATACTGGTGAGCTCCAAGGCAATATATAAAACAACATAGACTGGTTATATGAAAAAGGTATTCAATGGAAACTTGTGTTCATGGTCAGATAACTAACAGAAATAAGCTGTAAGATTTAATATTTAAATTAAGCATCAAAGTAATGGGTGGGCTATCCACATATAATATTCTAAGAAAAGCTTGACAATTTACTCATTCAGATTTGAGAAGTACAGAAGATTTGGACAAAGTCATGAAAATTAATGAAGAGACAGGATGCTGTCATTAATGTCCACTTACAGATTCTGGTTTATTCAAAAAGTGTATAAACGTGTTATTTCCTCATCATAGTAGGGTTTGAAGCCACTCACTAAAACACAGGTCAAAGGTTTTCTTTGCTTATATCCAACTTTTGGATGTATTGTATTGCCAGAAATATATTTAATGCAAGTCAAAAATAGTTTGACCATTGCTTTCCTTCCAAACACTGAAGACTTTACTACAAATTTAGTGGATCCAACTTCAACTCTTGCAGACTTCAAGTAACAGAACAGAAAGGGTTGTGTAGACTGCATCAAAACAATTAATGTCATGAATTTCAGTGGTGCAGCTCTATCTTCTATTCTACTGTACATGTATTGCAAAGATGAAATAAGATACTCTGACATTTCAATTTTTTTGGAAGCAGCCTGAATATGTCTTAATAATAAATTGCATTCTTAACTTCTTGCTAGGTATTCCTTGAGTTTATATTGTTTTCTTTTCTCCTGGAAAATCTCTGTCTTACATTTTGGGCTGGAGAAATTAACGGTAATAATTCTTTTAAAACTGCAATATAAAAACAGCTTTAGTGAAACACCTTAAGTTCTTCTGTTTGTAGCAAGGTTTGTTTTTCTTCCCCTTAGTGGCATGGGATGGCTAAAAACAGGTACTAAGGGCATCATTCTAGTGAAAGGGTCTAGGCCATCTCATGCTACCTTTAATTTTCATATTCGCCCTTTAATCTCACACTTCCAACTTCTGACCCCTTCTTAAATAGGAAGAGCAACCATGTTGCTTACTTTTAAAAGATTTAAATCTGTCTCTAATGTCTTCACTGACATCAGTTTTGCCTGTCACTTTCTCATTTCTACACCCCAGTGGAAAACCACCTAACATACTCCTTTACATCCAGCGTTATCCAAAGTAGCTTACAGGACGTAAACCTTCTCCACACATTCAGTCTCTTTTTTTCTTCATGTCATGAGGAGTAGAGTTTTGTGCTTATCACCAAATAAAATTGCAGTGCAAACTTTAAACATAAAAGTTACACAATTAAAAGTTAATATATGGCACCACAGCCTATTAATTCACATATAGTACAACAGACCAGTAAAAACAGACATGAATATGAACATAGCTAAAAAGAAGGTGAGCTTGCATAGCAATGCAACAAAAGAAATTATATACAGAAGGAAATCCTTTTCATCCTGGAGGGTGATTTTTTTTTTTTTCTTTCTTTTTTATATACTCCTGACAAGGAATAGTTTAAGGTGGATGGTGTATTAAAGAGAAGAACACAAGTAAAGAATCTGTGGGATATGTGTGGCTGTGTGTCTTTACATTGCATTTACAGTTCTTTTAATAGTACATAAATAAAGAAAATGTTCATTGCACTGTTTAGTGTCATCACTTCCATGAGTTCAGACCTGATGGTCCATCAGAGCAGCTTGCAATGTGTCTTCTCAACTACTCTATAGAGAGAAACAAGAAGAGAGAAAGAGGTTGTAATAAGAGAAAAAAACCACCACAAAGCAAAGCCTATGGCAATATTACTGCAGTAGGGGATGAATATTCAATAGGTTGTGTGAAGAGAATTAATTGCTTCTAAGATGAAAAGCGATGGATGCTAAAACTCAGCACTTACCAACACCATATCTGAAACTGCACATTTCAGGGTTTGTGGATCCCCTCTTATAAAGCTACTGAGCAGTAACTGTCGGGAGGTACTGAGGGTCTGACTGCAGCAATAGGATGCAGACATGCCCACAGCTCCACTGCTTTATCAGTAAACATACCAGTATGCCTGAGCTTCCTGGGATGTCGATGTTCTACTTCAAACACCAGAGTGAAGCCTTTGGGTATCTGATACTGCCATCATGTACACAGCATCAACATGGTCTTATACAAGGTTTAACAGGCAGAAAAAAGTTTGGGAAATAATTTCCCTGTCCTGGGATGCTGATGGAAAGAGTTGAGATATGCAACTCAAAAAACTGGGCTGCACAATCAAGAAAAGAAGATCTCCATCTAAGAGAATACTGCTCACCAGGTAACAAGAAGTTAAGGAGAAGGCATCACCATGGCTAAAAAAATCAGCACCCTTTTCATTCACTCTGAGAAAAAACAGTCAATGGCATTTCCAAGACAAGCACGCTACACTTTGCCAAGAAAACGCTAAATTACTGGAGTTTCTCTTCAATTTTCTCTGTGCTTCACTAGCATTACACACTGAAAGACATACTGTGTAGACAACATTGGCATGGCTTACACAGATTTGAACTGGTCCAAACCAAAGAACAGCACATAATTTACTTGTCACCTCAGAAGGCAGAAATATCTGGGTAAAATTTAGTCTGATTATCACAATGCAACTTCCTACTCTCTTCACAGCACATCTATAATTTTCCTCTTTTTGTCTATTTGAGAGTTTTAACTGTAGCTAGAGATAAACTTACATAATTCACCAGTAAACTGTCCTTGACTGTTTGATCCCACATAGCCTATATCGAGAAGGTCACTGGCATTGCGTTGGTGACCTCCTCGCAAGACTTCACCTTTTCTAGGTCCAGTCGATCCTTTAGAAGAAGATGTTCCTGAAGAGCTGTGGCCACCAGGGGATGGGAAGTTGGGTTTACTATATGGTACGAGCGCCTCTTCTAGAAAAGTAAAAAAAACAAAACAAAACACCAAAGTAAATATCAGTAAATTCCTAGAAATAGGAGTAAACAAGCTATTAATCTGTCTTTTGTCTTGCTTTTTATAGCACGACAATTTTACCTAGGAAAATACACAACTAAGAGTTGTGTCTCAAGGACAGAGAAGCCAGCAAGAATTTATTCTTGTTTCCTTGTAAACTCATAAGTCAGTTTGTATTAATTATAAAAAGTCTAGATTCATTATGAAGTAATAGATCATGAATCATGGATACTTTAATAAAAATAGATGCACATGCAATTTCCCAAACAATGCAGCTATGATTAGATTTTTGCTTCAAGCCTACATGAATGTGCTTTTTCCTTTTCTTTCGCTTAAATTATGGCAACATTACCTCAATCAGTTTAGATAAAGAACTACAATATCAGCTAATTTAATTAGCTTCCAGCAACTCAGTAATTTCTAATGATGCAAAGTACACTAACAATTTTTTTTTAACTGGTGGTGAATTACATTGGAAAATATTATATTACACATAGCAGTTGTAATATTTGGGCTGAATAAATCATCCTGTAGCTTGTTTCATGTTCCATTATGAGCAAAAGGCTTACTGTTGCTCACTTCCCTTCTTTTTCTGTGAAGACCTGTAATAATGAACTGCTTGCAAGAGCAGGATTAATAGCAATAAAGCATAAGACTGCATGTCTTCATATAGCATGAAGTAAAACAAGACATCGCTTCTGATTAAAGTTTCCAGGAGATATTGTTGTAATAATCCCAATCTAGGAAGCAAAACAGCAGCACTGATTTAGCACTGAAATAGAAGCACTGTTTTATTTCTTTCCTGTGTATGATCCTTTTTTGCCATCTGAGAAGCTGAAGAAAGAGATCTTCCTAAATGTAGTTTGATTCAAGAAAGAATATAAGTGTACATCCCTAACCTCAAACACAGCATCTGCCCCTTCTGAAATCGGTGGGATATCTCCTGCTTGAATCTTACTTTTTTTTCAAGTGAATCTAGGCCAAAAGGGTTTTCTTTATTTTGCTTTTCCCATTGTCTTCACTCTTAAACAACCCGATGAGGAGAAATGGACTTTCTTTGACAGAGGGCAGGAACACAGACAGAAAAGTAGGTGGGGATGGCCGGAAAGAAAGAGGAGATAAAAACGCTTTTATTCACGAGCTTGAAGCCTTTGCAAAGGCTGCAGCAGAGGCACAATTAACTTAGAGAAATGCTAAATGAGAACAAATCTGTGGAAGAAACCCAGGATTTCATTCATTGTGCCTGCTGCCACAAGTGAGTGGGACATGGGGATTCCCCATGTGATCTGCTATTGAACAGGGCCTGTTTGCAAGGTAAATCTGTTGCAGAGAAGGGCAGGCAGCTGAATTCCTTCCCTGCCAAAGTATCTCACTCTGGCCCTGCCCAAGGGACCAGCATATTTGTGCTGCGGGACACAAGGGCGTTATCAACGTTTTGTGCTATGACCGTGCGGTGTCCTTGCTGAAATACAAAGAAATGCTCAAAAGATGCAGTAAAATGGCATTTAACAGCCACATCCTCCTAAATCATGTTACTTGTTCCTTATATATCAAGGCCCAACAATAGAATCAGATGCAAACCTGGTTTCCAAAGGCTGGCTAAAATGTGGAATGGCTTGCACTAAGGTAGCAATAAGGCAGGCAGCATAAATCAGTTTAGCAGAAAGCTGGATACATTTTTAAAGGATGAAAAGAAAAGTCACTAGGATTGCAAAAGAGTTGGAAGATGACATATATGGTCAATTGATTTGTTTTTCTAGCTTGTGGACTCTGGATAAGGCCTCCTTCAGGTTCAATGAAATATTGAGGAAAAACGACCGTGAATAAATATAAAATCCATTATCATTATAGAGCATATGGTGTGTTAAATTATCTGTTGTGCCCTCAGAAATAAATATAATCCATAAAATAAGTAATTGTGACATAAAATAAAGGCTAAGTTTTTCACAACATTGTAGCACATGAAAGGTGGTTGTCTCAAGTCCTGAGAATGGGCTCACATTTATTAAACACCCCAAACAGCGAACCATGCCCCAGACCTGCAAAGATATTGGGGAGCCTTTGCCAGTGCCTTTCTCTTTGAAGCTCTGAGCCTTTAATTTGAAGACACAATTCCAGCCCCCATGAAATCAAGATACACGTGTGCAACGATGTTTCTATACCCCATAAACTAACCAAAAGGCTTTTCACATTATCAAAACTATTGTAACCTGATCTGGCACTGCTTTTGTTAGAGGGATAGCTGAGAATGTCATATTTGATGTGCTGTAGCTGCGCTTCCACAATGAAGCCACTGGCAGGAACCCGGTGATCTTGTTTATACTGAAAGCAACCAGTGGAAACACGGTTCCCAGACTTAAGCATTTCTATTCTATTCAACTTCAAACTAAAGGCCTTGCTTTCAAAATTTCACTCACAGCTTGGTAACATCTGAATGAAGCCCCCTAAGCTGCAAATTAGCTATTTTCTGGAAGCTGATAGCTAATAATAACTCCTTTTGGAAATGTATTGAAAAGTGGGACAGGATAGATTTCCAGAGATCTATGCCATTAATAAAGGAAAAGGAAAGAAACACAATTAGCTAATATTATTAAAGCCCACAAATTTAGTGATATAAACAGGCATCACATGTAACAGTAGCCTTTCTTAAATCTACCAGAGAAAAGAATACACAGCAAGAAACTGTAGTGCAAGAGGCTGGTAGAGAAGGCAGACAGACAGATATAAAGCTCTGGCCCACCTTGTGCACAAACTTTATGAACTGCTCACACCAGGGTAAATGCATAATATCTCCTAGAGGAATCTTTATTTTATGCATGAAGGATATGCACTTGCTCTCATCATCCTGAATTTGACAAGAACAAGACACCTGTAATCACTTCAGCCCTAAATTCAATGTTATGTAGGTCACTGGAAGTGGCAAGATCAAGTTCTCTTTATTTATGGACAGATAAATGCATGTCCTGCAGGATGGGAATTTTATTACTGTATAAGCTCTGCATCACAGAACCACTGACAACTTCTATTTGTACACTTGTGAAGCAGAGGAAAAAGAAGGGAGCTCTTGCTAAGCAGGTCAGAGAAGCATTCTTAATAATAATAATTTACATAGAAATAAGGAGTGTAAAGTATATTCAGGCTATTTTTTTCTACATGTTTGTACATCTCGTACATTGCAATTAAAATTGCCATTTCGCCAAACAGCAAGAATTTCACACACTATTTTTAAACTTCACATCAAGATTTCACAACATGAACAACCACTCACTGGTTTATGCAGCTGAAAGATTAGGGGGTTTTAACAGTATCATTATTGTTATATTTTAAAGTATGCCTGTATTTAAAATAGTTACATTTTAAACATAGGTAGCAATATTTCCCAGGAGGACTTTGTTCAGTAAATCCTGCCCTCATGATAGATTTGCCTGTATAGTACTACTTTTTTTTTTTTTTAGAGTGTCAGTGATATTAGTGGCCTAGATTAACAAGGAGCATTAATAGGAGAATAAAATCAAGAAAAAGATGGATTATAAGAGTACCTCCAGTGGGAGCCACATACATACTTGAAGAAACAGCGTAACCTTACAGAAAACTCCACATGCAATGTAATTTTTTGTTTAAATCTTCTTAATTGTCCTCTTGTATAACTCTAATCAGCACTGCACTGGGATGACACGTGGCTAGTGGGTTAAAGAAAATACCCTAGGTTGAGGGTAAAACCTGGAACAGAAGCTTTTACTTGAGGTCAGGCTGAGAGAAGGAAGCTGCAAATATCGTAAAACTACAACTCCAGGCCAGCATTGCTTCCTGTGCACATTTTTACAGACCTGAAATCCATTTAGGAGATAAAGTCAGCCTGCAGCAATGTGCAGGTCCTGTATGAAGGTGAAAGCCTGTGCTGTCATCTTGCTGGGTCTAAGAGATGAGTGTTACTTTGTCATATCCTTGAAGAAGATGGTGCTTTAAATACAGCTGGAAGGCATGTTAGTTGCTCAGAAGAATCAGCCTTCTTTTGGACATGCAAAAAAACCTCCTGCCAATTTGGAAGAAGGTTGAAAGAACTAGAAAATACAGCCTTGTATTTATGAATACATCTATCAGAAGATACTCTAAAAAATCTCTTTCTCCTTCCATGCTGGCCTGAAACTGCTCCTATTTTCTCCAACACTATGCTTGACAGCAATATTAATTGCCAAAACACTGCAAAGAATTCCTTGAATCAGGTGTTAATTGGATTTCATGGTTGCAGGAGGGAAAATAGTTGGATCACGAGCTCTCGTTTCACTTTGCCTCTCCTTCTTTTCCAGCCTAAGCCTCACCAGTGCTTTTACAGAGAGGTGTGAGGTGACCCTGGACTCCTGCCAGATACAGAAACTCTCAGCAGAGTGTCAAGAAGCCGCCTGCCTCGCCTCGGCTGGTGCAGCACACACACACCTGATCCGAAGGCTTGTTTGTGTTGGGCTTTCCTGAAATCCTCTTGGCGGTCTGTAGAGCTTATCCACTCCTGGGTTTGCCGCTGCCACTCTAGAGATGTCCTAGCTTGCCGGTCCAGGGAGCTCTTTGTCTCATCTAGGTTCGGTGCATGCTGCCTCTCAAGAGAGCTTCCTTTCCTCTCTGCCGAGCCTCCGCGCTGGCCGGGGACTATTGGCTGCCTTAAACCCTGACCGGGGGGCGGGTCGGGTGGTGGTGGAAGATCTAAAAAACGTGAATAAGATTTAGATGAACTAAATTTTTTTTCTTTTTTTTTTTTTTTTTTTTTTTTTTTTTTTTTAAATTGAAACAGAAGGTCTATTTGATGCTGAAAAGAAAAGCCCCCTGCAACCGGCGTGAATCGCTCTGTTAGTTGGTTTTAAAAGGAAGGAATTTCACGTTAATCAGAAAAGTGGGTTTATCTTCCTCTAGCTCTTTATCCAGGTTACTGTGTTGCTAGCTCTTTCTAGCTTCCACAAAAATTGACAGACTCTCATCCCTGACTTACTTACATTTCTAAGCACGGGATTTATTTTCTGTGGGGTTTATTTATTTTTGGGGTGGGGTGGAGGAGGTGGGGGTGTGCTGTTTTGTTCAGTGACAGCAAGAAGTTAAGAAATGATGTGGAAAACTGACCTGTGCCAGTTGACAATTTCCCCACCGTACTGGGACTTGCTCCATCATCCCCATTTTTTGGCTTAACTTTCAGCTTGAGCTCTAAACTCAAAATCTAATGTAGAACTTCATCAAAATGAATAAAATGTGACAAAAATTGCGAAAAAAATATTCACAAAACCTACTGTTATTGAAAAAGCAACAATATATCCCTGAAAAATGTGTTTAAATGGAACCACCAAACAATGTGTAAGCATTTTGTTCAAGTAAATGAAGAGCTAAAGTCTTCTCAGACAAGAGGATGGCCACTTCAGTTTAACATCTTGCAAATATAACCAACCAAAATTACAATTTAAGTTAATACCAAAAGACATTTGACTGGTCTCTAACAATCTCGTTCTTTTCAAGTTTATCACTAGGACTACTAAGATGCTTTTAGAACTGAAGATCAACCTTCTAATCCCATTTGTAGAGGCAAAAGAACAGTTTTTATTAGTTCTAGATCCAAGGTAATTACAGACTGAATAATTTTAATTCTAAATCTAAGATTTTCATGTAAACTACATGATAGACTTATAATAGTCCAGAAAAGCCTCAGATTATTTAAGAAAAAGAAAAAAAGAAATGGAAGCCCCTTAGTATCGTAATGAAAACCCATTTTATGCATGGAACACTTTTTGATAATTCTGTTTGGGGGCAATGCATAGCCCAAATAAATCCCTGCAGCCCACCCAACTTCACTAAACCTGTGTTAGTCTACAACAGATTTGGGTCTGTCCGGTTTTATGGTCTATTGTATCTTACAGTGTTGTGAAGATTTATCAGGAAATTGAACTTGGTTCAGTAACAGGAATGGGAAAGGAAATCTGTTTTGCCTTCAGGGAAGTCTGATGCTTATAACTCTAGTGAAACTGAAATTCATTTTATAAATTGTTCAGGAGGCCTTTGGAGGGAGTTTATTTCAAAGTCTGTAATCCGGCTTTATATAATACTTTATATAACACTACACAGAATTTTTTTCATGTCCTTGCTGTTAGAGGTGATACTTATACCTCATTTACGGAGCAGAAATGCTTCCTAAGTTGCTGAGATGTCATTCCAGTCAACATTGTCTCCTACAGATAAATGAGGAAGTGCAGGCTATTTGTGTTTACAAGGGAAAGAAGTTGTCCCTGATGATGCTGCTGTACCTTTGCTCAGAGCTGAAGTGCTACACCCCGACGAAGATAACTCTGTTCTGGCAAGAGCAGCCTTATAATAATGTGTCAGTGAGCCTGGTGTATGCTTTATGTTCAGCACTAATTTAGTTGAGAAATTTTTCGTTATGAATATAGATGTGACCTTTCGTGACAATGACTATACTTGAGTTACTGTAGGTGGAAGCAGGGGGGGTATGGGAGCTTGCCAATGTTGAAATTGCTTTATAGTGTTGGCTTCCAAAATGGCATTTCTTATAATTGATTTTATTGCGAGCATAACCAGTTAATGTACAGAACCACAACATTGGCATCTGCTTATGAAATCTGAAATAGAGATTACTGGAGTCGTGATTTATAAGCAGTTTGTGGGGATGCATTGACTCCAATAAACACAGCCATAACATGACATAGGACTATGCAATTTCCCTGGATAAAATATTTACCGTTCAATATAAACAAAATTTTCAAGTAGTACCACAGAAAGAAAAAAAAAAAAAAGTTCGAATTATTGCAGTATTAAACTTTAAACAGAGTACCCTTCTTCAGAAATTGCCATCTAATAGTTGTTATTAATTAGGTACTTAAAAGGAAAGAAGGTTTGTACTTAAACCATACTGCATGTTCTAAAGCTGGCTGCAACTCATGCAATTGCTGTAGAGTTATGCTGCTGATCTAATGTTAACCAGATTCTTGCTTTTATCCGTCCACAAAATAAGCATAAAGACCGACTTATGCATAGAAGTGAAACGAAACACCATGTTTGTAAAGTTCTTTGGCTGTTTTAGACCTATGGATGAGTTGAAGTGAAAAATAGGATTTACCTTCTAATGAAGATTCACAGAATTCTAGAAGAATTACAGGTACTATAGAATCAAAATAAGCTGGCTCCAGCCTGAGCACAGACTTACTGAACTGTGTTACACATGTCTGAGAAGATCTGTAAGAACAGCTACTAATTGTAGCCAAACTTCACCTGACTAAACTGTTTGCTTCTTTGCCTTCTTCCTCAGGCTGACTGTCACAGCAACACCTACCTGTCCTTTTCAATAAGAGCTGGAAGAGAGCTTCATTTGGAAATGTGGCTTTTTATTCGCTCTGCAACTCACATCCCATAGTGTAAATCTTCTGCCTTAGGTAAATTACTAAATACGCTCTGTTATTTTGCCTGGGAATACAGAAAAATCCCGTGTATCTGGAGTCATGAGTTTCTTCCTCCAATGCCATAAAGAATAGTCTTTCCTTGCCTTTCCTTTCCTCTCCTACCCCTAGTAAAGGGGTAACAGAATATCAGCAGAATTAGCAGTCTCAAACCCTGACAGGCAGATTTACTACCACACAGAGGGAATCCAACTCATTCCATCATGTCAATCACTTCAAAGAAGTTTTGAATTTAGAAATTTAGGGACTTCAGTGGGATTTTCAGTGAGGATACCCAGAGTGGCAACACTGACTATCTCTCTACTTCCATCTAAATCACATTTATCTTTCAGGTGCCAGATAAAATACCTAAAAGCCCACACTGAGCTAGTAACTTTCTAGGCCAGTGGGATGTCATCCAGACTATCGTTCGAAGCCTCTAATGGCAGGATTATCAAACCTGTGAGGCAATTCAGAAGTGCATTGGTGGAGGTGGTGGGGGGGTGATTGTCTTATTGATTTAGTAATGGAGGGATTGTGATTGAGAAGCTGTAGGACATCAGAGTGCCTAATAGGAGGGAGATGGATATTCATCCTGGGATTACTCCAGCCCTTCTTTAGAAAGCAGGACAATTGCTAAGTGATTTAGGTAAGAGTCAAACTTTGTCACAGCCTCTCATTATTAACTGGAAAAAGCAGCAAGTTACAGAACCTACAAGTATAAGGACACACCTTTCTACCTGTGCCACTGATTTCTTTTCCTAGGGATGATAATTACTGTGACATTTAATAAGCCTCTGAACCACTTTCTACCCTCAGAAGGTAAGCATCTTCTCTACAGTGATCTACCTTAGGAAAAACTGACTTTTAATACACAGTATGAAGTCAATGGCAAAACTAAGAGAAGTGTTATGTTCCAGTTCTCCTTTTTTAGCCCCTAAGCATATTTCCCTTCTTGCTCCTCTTTGTTTTTTGTGTTTTTTTAACATATCGTGCTCAGAAAAGGAAGAACTTTTAAATTTAGTCATGCAATTACCATGCCACAAACTATTTGACAGAGTCTACTGTTTTGCAATTTGTGAGTATATTGTTTCCAGGAAAACAAATTATTCCTTGAGCACTAGAACTAAAAACTTCTTGTTTTTATGGTGGCCTGCAAGCTCAGAATGAAAGTTTTCATCATCTGAGAGATTCCTAACATATTCTTCCTCTGTGGATTTGCTGTTGTCTCCATGGTCTTTCAGGATGTGGAAGTTAAAAAACAAGTTGTACAGCAAGACAAATATAAAGACTCCACCTAAAGTCAGTCTCTGGAGGATTCTGCCCTGCAGCTGAAGAAAATGAAGCAGCAGGCTTTTAGGGGATTTGTGTGGATTGCTGTCAAAAGCAAGCATGTAGTTGAACCCTCATATGCTTAAACAGTCTGAGATGTGTGTGCTACGTGTTAAATATTACAGTTTCTTAGGTCTTTTGCAGTGTCCCACATGGTTACAGTTAACACGGAGGAAGTGCTCAGGATGCATATGGGATTGGGCAGAGAAAGGACAGAGCTGGAGCTTTCTTGGGCAATGAAAATTTAAAATGACAGATATCCGGTATGTGATGAGACTTAAACGCAGGATACTAGGACTCATCTACCTTGGGAATTTGAAAACAACTGGCAAACTGAGTATGTTCTCACATGACAAATACAAGACGAAGCAGTTACAAGGGAAAAGACTGGAGACATTTGAAAACCAGGAGAAAACGTACAGTGATGCTTCCCACTGAAATTATGACAGCCTGGGGACCAACGGGCTGGCCTGGATAAGGGTTTATAATTGCTGGACCTATCTGAGGTTCTCCTGCTTGCCTCTTCCAGCTTAAGCATAGTGTATTGTCTCTCTTTGTAGAGTTGACTGCAATATTCCACAGAGAGTATCCGGCTACCACTTTTAATTTCTGAATACCAGAGTTTCCTAAATTCAATTGTTTACATACATGCAGGTGGCAGCAGCAACCTTTAGCTTCCTTAATTTCAAATGATCTTTTGCAAATTTAGCTATGACTCAGACTTGCCATTACACTTTAGTGACTCATATTCAGTAGGAGCTGAAGTGGAAAAACTGTACCATTTGTGTTTGTTTGTTCCTGTGTTAATACAGAATGGGAAAGGTTTCCCTATTGCTCCAGGACATTATAAATTTTTGGAACATATAATAAGCACTTTAACTAGGTTTATAACAGACAAATATTAATCTAATGGCATCCAAAAGCTGTTCTGGTTACTGCCTGTGCCTGAAATGTTGAAGGAAACAGTATGTAATTGGTATTCTGACTCAAATATATGAAAAAACTCCAGTAAGATTAGTATTTTATAAAGATTAAATAAAATACAATAGGAGATTCCTCTTTTAAAATAAATCCTAAAATCTGATCTCTTTCACTAATTTAAAACAATGCCAAATTTCACAATAGAGTCTCACTGTGGAATCACACTTCCATCTGTCTCATTACCTAAACTGGATTCCAATTAATTTTCTGGTATCCACATTGTTGTAAAACATTTCTACAGCAACAGCATTCAAAAGAAGGATCAAGGTCCCACCACACTGAGTGCACTACAAACTCACATGTACGCAGAATTTGTAGCCCAAATTGCTCATAGTTCTGGGTGACAGGATATGACAAGCACACACTGTATGGCCAGCACCACAAGTGACACCCATGATTTCCAGCTACTGTTCTCATGGACACATATATTTAATGGATCTGTGTAGCAGAGAGGCCTTTGGAATACATCCAGAAGGGCAGGGTATTAATGTTTAAACCAATTCAGGTCCTTATGAGCAAAATCTAAGCTACTTTACACTGGTTCCACAAATAATATGGCAGTGAGAATTAGCCATACAGCATGAGATGTAACAATAAACCATTTGGTGAAGACTTCCCTTTTGGAATCTATTCTCCATCTTTGTGGTCTGGCAAACATGGATTCTGTGAGAGGATACTGCAAAACTGAATCTTTATACCTGATAACATGACTGAGAGCAGAGCTCTGGTGGTTTTGGTGGCCACAGTCTACCTTGCAAGCTGTTAATATATTTTATACATGTACCTGGAGTAATAAATAGAGCATTATTAAAAAAAAAATCAATATAAATATACTGTCTATCAAATCTATTTATTACATTACCTGTCCAAAGAAAATGAAAGAGTGAACTGGACTTGATGATCCTTATGAGTTCCTTCCAACTTGAGATATTCTATGATTCTCAAGCAATTTTTACTAGAATAAGAAGGGTTCTTTACACTAAAATCTAAGGTAATTTTTTAATCTTATTTTTTACACCTGCATACACCAGAAGATTTGTCACACTCGCTGCCATGGTCCAGACAGTGTTATGAGAGCCTCTGAGGTATGTGGGACAGTCTGCCTCTCAGAACTCTCCTGCTTGGAACACTGGAAGAGAGGTTGGCATGAAGAAAGTGATCACATCTCCACCTGCATGGCATTACAGATATCCTTAGTGTTTTTTTTTAATGCTGCTTTTCCATCTGCCTTTCTCCACTTTGATCATTTCAACACCTACAGGTGGAAGGCCAGGAAGAGAAGAAATGAGGGGGAGGAGGCTGGGCAGCCACCTTCCTATGCAGTATTCCTCAAAAAGTAGCAGGCAGCAATTGCGTCTTTTGCCAGACTCAAGAGGGGCAGACAAAGATAACGGAAGACAGAGCTGATCTTGGTCAGATCTTAGAAAAGCCTGAAATTTCCAGCTGGGAAGCAGTGGTCAGCGAGAAGCAGAGATGTAAAAGAGGGAAACAAAGTCACTGAGGTCAATGGATGTCAGGGCTGAAGCAGCACAGACAAGACATGAGGCAGAACCATGGGAAAAGCATGGCACATGTTGCTGTAGTTGTTGAGTGTCTGTCAAAACCAGCACAAAGCAAACAGTGCTGCGGGAGTGGCTCAACGCTTCTCCTTAGGAATTCATGGCACACTGCTACTGGTGGTGGCTACTTTCATCTAATAGAAAATTACTCACAGGCCATTTTTTTTATGTCAACTCCTGTGCAACACAGTCATTTTTGAGTAAGATTTATACTGAGATCTGATAACTCCTAAGAGATGCTAATGTGTTCAGAGCTGAAATGAATAAAGGCTCCTCGAAGACTCACTTTACCAAGCTCCACACTGCCAGCACTGCAATTTTGCTCACGAGGCAACCTGGGGACCCCACTTCACCAAACCAGTAATTCTCTACAACCTACATTTTGTAAAAGATTGCTCTGCCTTCTCCCACTCTGCACACCTGCTTGTTGCAGGTTGTCATCGGGGCCCTCTCCACAACACTTCAACACTTACCGTCTGTGATTCCCTCCCTACGATGAGGCAAAGGGGGCTGGTCCAACCGTCCTCCCTTGTGTTTTTTGGTGGGCCTCGGCCTCTGACCCTGATTGACAGCTGCACTGGTGTTGCTGTCAGTAGAAAAAGGACTGCTCGGCCGAGGTCTCTGAGAGGAAGAATATGCTTTGCCTAAAAAAAAAAAAAAAAAAGAAAAGAAAAAAAGAGAGAGAGAAACCAGATGAAAAAATGTTATTGCCTTGAAATGGGTTGTTCTATTAATGTCTGTTCTGAAACATTAAATTAGGCCTAAGCCTCAGAGGCAAGCAAGTGTCCCCTCGAGGTACCCACTGATGACAACTGCTTTAAGACACACCACAACAAGTGAAGTGATAAACTTGGCATTCTTTTCTCTTTAACTTTTATAATTAAAATTATTCCATCTGTTGTGATAAAACTACTGTATGCCATGTAACTCCTACCTGCTCTGTGTGCTGAACAGATGTGTCATAACAACTCCTCAGCCTTGAGCAGGGAAGGAAAACAGTTCTGCAATCATATCAAATTTATCTCCTCCTGCCTTCCACTTTCATGTTTATCGAGCCAGATTCTCATTTTAGGGGCTCCCATATGCACTGTATATCTGGAGTAACTCCAGTGAGATAAACACAACTGATTTTGCAAGCTATGTAGCAGGGAAGGTTTGTATATTTAAGGGCTCTCTTTTCTCAAGAAATCAAAATGGGAGTATATTGAAATGCTAAAATTTTCCTGTTCATTTTCAGTACTTTTATATGTTAAAAAAATGTATTCTCACTGAATTTATTCCTCATATATATATATATATATATACACACACTATTCAAGCTGCATGATGTCTCCTAAAAAATATCTTTGATGCTGTTCTATGGAGCAGATGATTAAAAGCCTCGTGCAGGAACCGTAGGAGCAGCGCAGTTCATTTACTATGTTCACTTCCTCTTATTCTGATATTTTTATTCAGTTAACTTAACTAGGCTTAATGTTTAATGCCAACTGATGAAAACTAAAGATCACCATCTTTTAGTTTCTTTTGTTCATGTGTAGGTTGTTCTTGCCAAGTATCTTGGGGATGTTAACATTTTAATTTGTTTAAAACCGGTAATTAAAATTCTTACATGTTTTAATCCTATCTGCAGTGGAAAATGTATAAGCCAGTCAGAATTTCTGCTGTTTTAATGCTGCTGTAGGCCCAAATGGTGTTAGAGTTGATGGAAAGTGGCAAAATGGCTGTTTGCTGTTTTTCTGATCAACTGAGCCCAAGCTAGGAAGGAGGTTTTTATCCTCTGGTTAACTTAGACCAGGGTCTACCCTGCCATAAAACCTTTCAACAGATGCACTTAATTCTAACATGCTGTCACATATGACCTGATCTAGATAAGCTTAATCAGGAGTAATATGCAGCTCAGCATACTGTTTGAAATATGCTCAGTGCAAAGAGGGCAAAGTGAAAGAGTCGCCGTAATCTCTCTGACATGGTGTTTCACATCAATACATACATGTTAGAATAATATATCACTGTTTAACTTCAGAGATTTCCTGAGTCTCTCAGGTTTGCCTTCTGACCGATGTGCACCCTGAGGGGGACACTGCTCTCAGGCAGGCTCGTCTCCCAGCTGTGTCTCTGCCAGCTATTGGAGGTTACCACATTTGAACCCCTCATGTGGACATTCCCTAACCCTCCTCTACCAAAAAAAAAAGCCCAGTTGAACTTAAATGGTCTGAAAACAATGCCTTTGCTAACCTGGCTCATTTTAACTGAAATGGGTTACAGAACACACACCCAAGCAGCTAATTCTGGAGCTGGGAAAAAAGCAGTAATAAACGTTTGGGGGGAGGCTGGAAACATGAACCTCTACAGCTGGCACAGCTGCAGCCAGACAAAGACGAGTGATCAAACCCTTGTTTCATGGTTAAGGATAAAACAGCAGATGAGCACAGGCAAAATATTAAAATTTCATTTAAAAATAATAATTAAAAAAATCAGTAATGCAAAGAAATTCAGACATGAGCCTGAAATTCTATCTCAGCTCATAGCACATTGCACAGATGTTTTGTAAGTGCACTAGTGAGTGCACATGTAAGTGCACATTGCACATTGTAAGTGCAACTAGTGAGTGCAGGATGCAGATTCTTCACACTTATTCTTTCGACTAAAGAAATGTGATTTTTCATTCAGAATGTTGGTTTCAAAGAGAAATAGACACCGAACATTCTCTTTTATCCCTTCATCAAAAAGAGGCAAAATAAATGGCACTGACCTAAATCAGACATGGGGCAAACACAAATGACGTGCAGACTCCCAAAACACATTTTTCAATGCACTTAATAACTGATTACAGCATTTTGTATTTGTATGCAGCCCTTCCAGTAAGAACTGCTGAGCAGTGTCAGATTTTGTAGCAGATTTAGTGCGTGTAAGTGGAGACAAGGATGAATCCACTAATTCTTGATTTAATTTCCCAAGGGTGTTAAAAAAGGAAATCTGTCTGAACTTCGTGGCAAATCACATGATGGCTTCTGGAAACTGGAATCAAAGTGTCTGGCAGGAGAGACACATCGCATCTGGATTTACCAGCGCCTCTTATGCTTGGCAATCAAACACTCCCACGTGAGGCTATCAAGCTGGACATCTCCTTTAGTATCTACCGGTGAGGACATCTCACAGCTGTTCTACGTGGGTGAAAATAATTGTCCAGACTGCAAAGGAGCAAAGAGTCAGGACCTTCAGACTCCCTCCAGAGCAATGAACAGAAACAACACTGCTGCTTCTCCACTGCTAGACACTATTCTGCACTGTGGGGGCTGCTGGTCTGTACCAGGCACGTCTGACTGACCCACCCCTACCCCGGGAGGTCCCATCTCGCAATGAAACCGCAGTGAACACGGGGGAGTTATTTCCATTTGCTGAGGTTTCTGCGAGGAAGAAGAGGGGAGGGCTGTTTGTTTACGTGTGGGTTTTGTTTTATTTCCATTTTGCCTGCTGGATCATTAGGAGAGTAAGAGGGTAATAATCATAAAGCCTCCACCACAACCGCTAGATACTTTTTTGTACCCTGCACTACTCTAATAGTCTGTCTGAGGAATTACACACATGCACTCACTTTAAGTGCATTCGTGACCTAATTAAGCTGGGAAAATATAACTGACAAGAAGGTTCTCAGCCTTTCCTTTTATTTCCATTCACATTGCTACAATAAGAAATCATATTTATTTTTTTTTTAATATCTATGTGTTTGTGTGTCTATTTACTTCTCTTATGCGTGTGTTTGTGGTGGGAACTGCACTTCTCAAAGGCCTGATAAAAGTGACATTAACTCTGGGTGAATTGTTGCATTAAACTTTTACTGACACCAAGAACACCAGAAAAAAAAAAAAAAAAAAGGAAAAAAAAAAAAGAAAAAAAAAGCTTGGGAAGGATTTGCTCCTTTCTTTTAAGACTTAGGAGACTCTTCAAGCAAAATAGTATATTTTAAATTATAGTTTGGCCATATGTGTGCGTAGTAGATGAGTGAAGGTCTACATTTTGTTTTGTTTTGCTTTGTTTTTTATCAAATCAATGATATATATCAAATATACTCAGTAAATTTTCCACAATGTCAGAAGCTGCTGAGGGGTTCAACTAGGGTGAAATAACTACCTTTTAAGGATGACTACGTATGAAAAGTCAGTGGCAAAAGTCACAGTGGTTTGAGAAAAGTCATATCTGTTTACCTTTTAGTTTTGTTGGAGACATAGGGCTTTGCCATCAACTCTTTTCTGTATTCCTAATGTCCTTAAAAGGTGCTATTTGCCATGAAGACATTACATGCAGAAAGAGTGCATTTTTCAGGCCTAACTTGTGAGTCATTTCTCATAAATGCACACATTTTACTGGAGGAGAGACTTCACACCAGACTAATAGCAAAAAAATTTAAATGATAGGAACATTATGGGATCTGTGGGCAGGAACTGGCTGAGGAAGCATAACAAAAATAGGACCCAAGCTCATACTTTGCTATTAAATTTGTGTATTCAAATAATTAGTAATTTTTGCTATTTTGATAAGACTAAGAAAATGCAAATATATTCTTGTTTTTTCCCCCAGAATATTTAGAGATAATTTTTCCTTATATTTTAAATAGAAATAAGACATATGAAGCTTTAAAAATATGAACTAAATGATATTTAGTTTTCAATAATTCATTTTAGAAGACTGACTGTTTTCAAAAGCAATAGTCACTTTACCTTTGTTACATTTTACTTGGCAGACTCAGTTGGCATAACTAAAATTAAATGTTATCAAAATATATTAACTTATGAATCAAGTATTTTTAAATCAGCTATTAATAAAGGTTTTAAACAGTTTGCATTGTTAACGATAAAAGCACACCAATTCACCCCATGCTTAGGAAAACTTCACAGAAAAATACACTTTTCCAAGAAGAAATGCCACAGAAGAGCAGGGATGGAGATAATAGTTTAAATATGATCTTCATCACTGGAAACGTGAATGATTGTGAGGAGGTTTTTCAGAAAACAAGATCATCAAAGACTGCAAGGCAGAATTAGTGATTTCTTCACTGAAATATTAAATGGAGCACATCTCAGTAAGTACACAGCAGTCAGTACAGAGGGAAACTGCAGGAGAACAAAGGTGCAGATTAAAAGCTTGTGCTATTCACTACTTCAAATCACCAAAGGCGAAACACAGTGCAAAGTTTCATTTCAAATATACCAATACAAATATCTCCATCCACCTTATTCCATGCATGTTAGACAAGTGTGAGAGGCAGGTTCACTGAAAGAAGAGGAGAACAGGCAGAGACACCCTTCATGCAGAGAGCATCAACTTTGAGTCTACAAACCTGTTCTCGTCAGGCTGGTTCCATCCAGCCTAAACCCAGCTTTATCTGCTGCTGCAACCAGTGCTTGTGCAAAACTGCCGCTGGTAAAGATCGAGTCATCTGAGGAGCTACCTACACTAGATCTATGACTAGAAAAGTTACGGTCCTCATCAGACGCAGAACCCCATCCATTTACCATTGAACCTAAAAACAAATGTAGGGGTCTAGTGAGTTGTGCACATTTGATACCTTTTGATCATCTAAAGCTTAAAGACCCAATTAATATGTCCCTTCTCAACAGGAAACCCAAAATTCATTTGACAGAGC